TATATATATATATATATATATATATCGCGCTTTAATAAGAAACACACTGTTCTTTTTTCTGCAAGACATATTAGCATCAGACTGATCTTCCTTCACCGAAAATAGTCAAAAATCAACCATGTTATTTTAAGTCAAGTCAAGTTAAAATTTGTTTTTCAATACCACATGTAAAAGATTAGTATACATCAAAGTGCTTCACAATAATTTTAAGTTTGTTGAAGCTGAATTGGGGTGATGCACAGTGTTGTCAATGACTTTATTCTAACCATTTCTGTTTCTCTCTTTCCTCTTCTCTCTCTATAATGGATCAGGAGTGCAACTGGAGAGGCTTGGCATGAGATCATGTTATCATGCTTGAGTCACCGTACATGTGATGAGCGATCAGGGACCCACGGAAAAGAGTGTGGCAGCGATTTTGCCTATTTCTACTTTGTCTCTTTCATTTTTCTCTGCTCTTTCCTGGTCAGTACTGAAGCCTAAATGTCGCCATTGCAGCTGACACATTTGATTGTTTAACTATTGGCCAAAGAGTTTAACTGACTCTTACTTCTGCTTTTTTATAATATTTACGTCTAAATTGCTGATCACAACACAGAGTAAATATAAAACTTACTGTAAAACCTCGCAGCTGCCCATCTTTAAGCCACCTAGTCAGAAATACACATGTGCTAGTTAGTCATCACACATATATTTGGGACAGAGTAATGATCATTACTGGTCATTTCCTCAAATTTTTAATGAATGAATAAATCAACACTTGTTAATGAGTTTTTGTTAGTACAGGATTTTTGCTCCCTGAGAAGATACACATCCAGTATTCCAGCTGTTTAATTTTTTACATACATGCCAGATCCAGTATGTGTAATCAATACATGATACTTAAAAATGTGTTTTCAAGCCACTTAAAAATACAAAATACAGCATATCTTTTTTAAAGTAGCAACAGTTATATTGCTAAAATATAATATTGACCCTCCTAGGACCTGGCGTCCTCATATGTGGACATCACATTTAGGGTTATTTAGACCAACATATACTCAATTTTGCTCTACAAGGGCCTGATATCTACTTACGAGAACATTATACTGCTACTGTTATACTGAAATTTTAAACGAATATCCTCATATGTGGCTCTCATTTTTCTTAGAAAAAAAATCTGGTAAAAAAAAAAAAATCTGGTAATTCTTTGTTTTTACATTAATTGGGTCCTAATCAGCCCAAATATCAAAGAGAAATTAAAAATACATGCTGTGGAAGAGTTCAGGTCTTAGGAGGTTAAGATGTATGTCCTCTGTGGTTTTGGCATTATAAACTTCATTATAAACTGCTGTTCCATTTGTAATAAAACATTAAGACAGCATAAAAACAATGAAAGTGAAAAGTCATAATCAAAATATAAGAAAAGGTTCTTAAAAAATGGAAACAAGAATAAATCAGAATCCACAGAATGCATAGAGGTGGCATTAAAGTTATTGAATTAAAAACAGTCGAAACAACGGTATTAAGCTTTTTTTGAAGCAGTTTTTAAATGTAGATAGATATATTCTAAAGGGAACTGTGGGCATGTTTGCACATGTTTGCAATTACAATTAAGTGTTTTTGTTTGCTTAACATCGATAATACTGTGAAGAACTATTTCAACATGTTTACATCAGTATCTTGTCTAGTTAGATAACATTTCATCTGTGAAATCCTAGAATTTAGTGTTAGCTTTTATTAGAATATCATAAAACATAAAAATACATGTCTGTTATTTTTAATATTTCAAAACAACAGGTCTAACTACCTTATGTCTGTCTTCTAGATGCTGAACCTGTTTGTGGCAGTCATAATGGATAACTTTGAGTATCTGACCAGAGACTCGTCCATCCTGGGGCCTCATCACCTCGATGAGTTTATCCGGGTTTGGGCTGAGTACGACCCAGCTGCGTGGTATGTTCAAGCCTTCATCTGGCCCCAGAGAACAGAATGCACAGTAAAGTGAAGGAAAAACCTCTCTAGCCTTACTCCTCTCTCCCCTGTTTGTGACTACGGTGACTGAACAAGGCCTCATTCCTGTACCTTGTTGTTTGCAGTCAGCCCTCTGATAATTATTGGGATTTTGTTTTTTTGTTTATTGTTTTGTTTTGTTTTGTTTTATTTTGGAAGCTGTCCTGAACGGTTGTTTATTTATGTGCTTGTTCTTTTCCGCAGCGGACGGATTTCCTATAAGGATATGTACAATTTGTTACGCATTATCTCACCCCCCCTTGGCTTAGGGAAGAACTGCCCTAATAGGGTAGCATACAAGGTTTGCAAATACCAGACATTTCCGTCACTAGGGTGCTTTGTGTACCTCTATGCCAAGAGAATTTTAACTGAATGGCTGTGCACCAATGAAATCGCCTTGACACTAGCACTTGCCCCTTCAAACTGTCTGGCTTTGATGATCCTGGAGTGGAAACAAAGTTTTCAAAGCCGCGGCACTGTCCCAACATGCTGCCTGCCATAAGACTTTCTTCTGTCTGTAATGTTTTAACTGCAGACTGCAATTTACTCTACAAACTGAGCCTTCAAAAGTCTTAAATTCAATTCAGTTATGGCAAATCAAAATCAGCAAGAACAATGTGATCTTTTTTGTACATGTCTGCCTCGTGAAAGTTAGGCTATGAGCAACCACAGCAGATTTCAGGCTGGCATTGAAACCTTTGTCTCCGTACACCCTGGTTGTAGTACCAGTGAGATGTCTGCAAGCATGCTGTGGCAGACATCCCCATTATACTGCTCTCATCTCTCTTCCCTTTCATCAGCATCCTGTGTGGGTCTGAACATTGTCCCATTTTTCTCCCCTCCTCCCCTGACTCACTCTTTACCATTCCATGTTTCCTCTCAGGAATCCTGAGCTCCATGGCGATGCATCCATCCCTGCGCCCTGACACAGTGGCCGAGGATGGCATATACCTTCCATCTCACTCAAGGAAATCTATTAACAACAGATTTCTGTTTTTCCTTTCCATTATTCTGCTGTTTTGTTGATTTCTTTTTATTTATTTTCCCCTTCTCTAACTTCCCATCCATCTCTGTTTGCATTCTATTTATGTTTTGATTTCCTACCCTGTGAAGTGGCCGTATCAAGTACCTCGATATGTATCAGATGCTGCTCCACATGTCCCCACCCTTAGGTTTGGGAAAGAAATGTCCGCCAAGAGTCGCCTACAAGGTAGACCCTCCTCTTCCGCCACTTTCTTCCCCCTTCTCAACAATCTTTTTTCCATTGGCGTGAACTCAAGCCAATGTCTTTGCTCTGCACTATTCCCACATTTCTTTGTTTTGCTAGTGCTCTGATATTTTGAGTGTAAGTCACTCATCTTTTCTGTCTTACGGTTTTGCTAATAGTATCTGCTGCTTTGGGTTAATACCCATCCCTAATTATAAGAACATAGCCCTTAATAAAGAATGCTTGATTAAGATATATAATGTATATGGAGGGAAATTGCTCCGTTGCATCACTATTTCCTTTCAGTGGTATACCCTAGTTTGGTTTTTATTTTGTGGAGCAGTGAGTTTTGCGTGCGTGCGTGTGCGTATGTGTGTGCAATTATGTATGTCCAGGTGTGTGTGTGTGTGTGTGTGTGGGTATGTCTAGCTTCTGCTGCTTTTCTGTGGAAGAAATGTTTTGTATATGTGCTTTTGACTCTGTGGTTCTGTCTGTACTGCTACTACTTTTTTTTCTCTCATTTTTCTGTCATATCATCTCAGTCTGTTCACTGTGCGGAAATATCTGTTGTGTGCATGTGTCTGTGTGTGTTTGTTTCTTTCTTTTTGTGTTAGAATATTAGAGGTGCTAAACCTTGATTTAACCTCTACACTATTTCTAGCTGATCACATTATCTTTATCCGGATAGCCAATCTAAATAATGAAATTTGCATGTTAACACAGGGGCAAATGCAAACAGTGTAGTCATATACAGTGACTAAGTTACATTTGAGGAAATCTTTACACTGTGGTCAACTTGTTTATAAGGTTTAAAGACATTGAACAGGAATTTCCAGCAGGATTTCTGTATTGATTACTCAATTACTCAAACATTTTAATCTTCACCAATGTGTAACACTGACGTGCGTGTTTCGAATACTCCCAGATCAAAAAAGGATTTGGCACCAAAGAGCTCAATGATTTGGACCAGTAGGTTCGGCTACGTACAGGAGAGGCAAACTGAATGAGACTCAGACAACCGCGAGTTTTGAAAAATAACCGGAATTGTATTTTTCTTCTCAATTAGAAACAACAGGACATTATGACAAACATACAAAACATTTACAAATGAAATTATTCCCTTTCGGTACCAGTACTCTCTTAATAATACCTTTTGGCAAAATCACAGTAATCACTCGATGAGAAAGAAATCTTACCTGGGTGCACCCTTTCTAGAAGTACAGTTCACATCCAACAATGAACCACAATTTCAATCATCAGCATGTAAATGTTAACACTTATTTGCATTTTCACAGACTTCGTTTACAAATAGCAACAGTTAATCAGCTGGAGGGTTATTTCCGACAGCTCACACTCACTTTTGTTCACATTCATGGAATGTACAGAGTCCGTAAAACGAGTCCTTACAACCACCCGCCCGTGAGTCCAGGGGGATGTGTGTGAAGAAGGGGGACTACGAGTACAAAATGGCGTGGTGTGTTTCTGTTTTGTTGCATCTGGCCTACCACACTCTGATGTGCAGGACAGAACAAAGTCATTTGGTCCTTCAACGGGGTTGGCTCGCCATCAATTTCAGGATCCGTTGGAATGCACCAGGAAGATACAAACCAAAGAAACAAAATAAAAAACAAAACCAAACAAAAAAAAACCTGACCTGTCAACGACAGTGTCATGGGACATATTAAGTTCCTCATAAAATCACAATTCACACATTCGCTTCAACTACTGGGTTTCAGTAAATTGAACAAAGTTTCCTACAGAACATTCCTAAACAATTATCATTAAACACTGGAACATTTTACTTGCAAGGCATTCATGAAACACCGATAAATAATGAACAAGTAAAATACTTTGCTCACCGATCTCAGAATTAGAAAGACGGAGCAGCGCGAGATGGCGCACGACCGATGAAATGGCGTCGTCTCTAACTCCCGACCTTTCTCGACTAAGCAATGTAAAAAGAACCAGCTAATTACTCATCTTAGCAATATACATACAGTAAAACAATCTTTCATAAACGGCGAGTGCTAGCTCTCCGTCTATATTACTCTTTTTCACACCTCGTCTCAGTAAATCGCCGTGTCTTGTCTCCTCACTAGCTTGCTCATGGAAGGTTCGCGAGCGAGAGAGAGAAGAGAAGAATCTGTGTCCTCCTAGGCAGGGGCGGCAGGCGGAGCCTGTACCACGTTTCAGCAGCTCATTGGCCTAGAGTAACACGTGTCTAAACCAGAACAGTTAACTCCTTAACTGCTGCACCTATGGTTTATTCATTACAAATGAAGTGTGCTGCTTAGATTAATGATTCTTTTCTTATTCTGGTATATTCTAGTTAAGCCATACTCAAATATGGGTTACAAATGTCACAATTATTACCAAAGACAGTCTGAGTAAACTAATAACAGAAAAGGCACATAACAGAGTGGAACTCATGTTGGAGCAAAATGACCATAAAAAAATTCTGAGATTTTTTTTTTTTTACACATTTCAATAATTTTTTCCTGTATTTGTTAGTAAATTGGCGATCCTCACCCCACCTTTACTCCTAAAGGACCTTTCTTGGATGCTGCTTTTGTACCAAATCATAATTACAATCACCCGTTGATATCACCTGTTTCAAATCACATCATTATTTAGCCAATTTACCTGATTACTAGCCCTAAATTGCTCCTGTCCCAACCTTTTTTGGAATGTGTTGCAGGTCTGAGTGACAGGTAAGGATGTATATTTACAAATGAAATTAAACTGACCAACCAAAACGTAAAATATTTTGTGTTCATATTGTCTGCAATGAAATACAAGTCAAAGTCAATTTAGAAATCACTACTTTCTTTTTTTATTTTCTGTTTTCCTATTTTATTCCAGTTAAAACTCACCTCAGGTAGATATGCAAAAGAGTCTGGAATCTTTTATGCTCTACAATAACTCTAAAAGGTTACAGTTTGTATTTGTCAGAATACTGAGTCAGGTAGCCAGCACAGTTGAATTCAGTGAAGCTTTGTTAGTTACTTCTCGCTCCAATTATAAGAGCGTGCAAATGCATAACCATGTAAACAAAAAATGAAATTAACATCTATTCAATTCAATTCAATTCAATTCAATTTTATTTATATAGCGCCAAATCACAACATAAGTCGCCTCAAGGCGCTTCATAGATACAGAGAAAAAAACCCA